TCTCTCAATAATAAAATGTTCATGGCCAGAAGTGGAAAGGTGAAGCCAAGTGGAGCAATGCATACTACACTGTGAAGTCAGCAACAGGAGGCTATGGGAACAGGATGAGCCCTCAGAAGATTACAGTCTCACCACTACCTCTTTCCCTGCAAAAACTCAAAAAACTATAAACCGTTTCAAATCATACAGAAACACTCCCCTTGTTATAGACAAAGGACTGAAAAATTAAACAATAGCCAAGGAAGACCTCTTCTGAGTACAGAAAGATCTATCATTCAGAAATCTGGTTGTATCTTTCCAAAGAGTCTCCTACCTCACATGTAGATGAAGAGTCCTTCAGCACCTAGAGGTAGTGAGAGTGACGCAGAGAGCTTGCTCACTCTGACAAGAGTGAACAATACCATCCCTACATACGTCCCTCTTCTGTCAAGGTAAGAAAATCAAGAACATCAATAACAGTGTGGGAGCAAGACCATGCTCTTCAACCATAACAAAGAAGAATACCGCCATATAGAGGAAGAGAGAAAGCTTGCTTCTATAGCGGGCTTACAGTGGGAATCAGGAGAAAAACTCGGAAATTATCTACTTTACGTTCCCAACTGAAAAAGACGAAGGGAAAAGAAAAACACAGCCTCTAAAAGCAAGAGATGAGGTGGGAAACAACAGCTGAGAGTAAAAAAGAAACTGGATAAGAAAAAACTGGAAGGGAATTCAAATATGTAATAATAGTAAAGATTTAAATTCTATATGAGAGGCGATAGAGATAAGTACAGAAGCTGGAAAAAATCTAAGTAGTATTTTAGCATATATATGTGAGATGCTCTCCAAACACAGAAGAAAAAGGACCAAGATGAAAACAAAGCATATTGATTGATAGGGAGGACAAAAAATACAAATCCAATCTACAAATAACTGGCATTTCTGAACTGAAATCATAAGCAAACATACCACTGAAAAATTATTCCTGAGCTGGGAGAAAAAAAAAAAAAAGATCAAACATATTTACTCTTCTAAATTGAGAGGATTCACTTTATTTCTGAGAAAAATGTTGGAAAAACAACAACTATGCCCAGAGGTAGCCTAGTGGAATAACATAATTTAAAAAAGAAAAAGAAAAAACAAAGATGTAGGCAGATAAAAGAGTTTACCTACAAAAGAACAAAAATTTGGGTAGCCTCCACCGCAGGAACACCAAAAGTCGACAGAGGAATGTCTAAACATCTGAGAATTTCTGACTTACAAGTTTGTATCTTAGCACCTACAGCAAAGTTAGGCACACATATAAACATTACATAAAAGTTGTAATGAATAAAAGAAAAATTAAAAATTTTAAGTGAATTTATTTTATATATCTCTACCTCTCTATAGTACATTTCTTCAACTTTCAAGCTTATTTACCAATTGGTCTTTTCCCACCCAAACAACAGATTTATATGACATCTAATCTTTTTGATACCAGTGTCATTATTTTTATAAGATTATCATATTTTTATATAAAACTAGACTTCTCTGCAAGCACATAAGTGAAACTGTTCCACCACTGCTGATGATTTAAACTGATCCACCAACTCTCGTTACTTTTGGGTTTTTTGTGTATCTTTTTAAGATTTATTTATTTGAGACAGACAGACAGAAAGCACCAGCAGGAGGGGCAGACGGAGAGAGAGAGAATCTCAAACAGACTCCGTGCTGATCACAGAGCCCGACACGGGGCTCAGTCCCAGGACCCTGAGATCAGGACCTGAGCCAAAACCAAGAGTTGGACACCTTACCAGCTGCGCCACCAGGAGCCCCTCTTGTTACTTTTGAATAATGAGTGTGACTTGAACTAACTCTCGTCTGCACGTATGCTAATTAGGCCAGAGCCAGGAACTGATGGTGTGTGAGTCTGGCCGAAGTTATTCAACAAAAAAGAAGATTCAGAAAAAATCAGCACTGTATCAGAAACTACAGACTCAGTGCTACTCTAAAAATAGATGATAGAGCGATGCATTTTTAAAATATACTACCAAGTGCCATTAAAAAAAATAGTAGTTGGACATTTTTTAATGAAAGAGACATTCCCCTTTTCTTCTTACAAAGTCTTTGTTAAAAACTAATGTACCGGGCGCCTGGGTGGCTCAGTCGGTTAAGCGACTGCCTTCAGCTCAGGTCATGATCCCAGGGTCCTGGGATCGAGTCCCACATCGGGCTCCCTGCTCTGCATGGAGCCTGCTTCTCCCTCTCCCACTCCCCCTGCTTGTGTTCCCTCTCTCGCTGTGTCTCTGTCAAATAAATAAATAAAATCTTAAAAAAAAAAAAAAACTAATGTACCTTCTTATTTCCACAAGCTTTCATTCATTCACCTGGCACCTACAATATCCTAGAACTTTGCTCTGTGTGTCCTCAAAGGAAGGAATATCAAATATTTCCTAGGAAAATCAGAGAAGACGCTAAAAGAAGGAGTCTGGAAGACTTGAATTCAGTTCTTTAAGAACTTATATGTGAATAAGGGCTTACCAAGTAGAGACAAAGCCATGCCAAAAAGATGGAAGAGCTCCTCAACAGAGGGCCTGATGCTAAGTTTTAAAAATAAAATGGCAACACTTGAGCATAAATTGGGTAGTAAACTACAGGCAGATATGGTCCAGTGTTTCCCAACATTAGGAGGGATCATTCTCAAAGGAGTTATCGGGAAATGAGATCATAGTGGGATGTCACAAAGAGGAGGAGTTATAGTTTGCCACTGCAATTTAGTGCTCAGGGACCAGATACAATGAGCATCCTACAATATATGAGACAGCCCCATACAAATGCCAGTTGAGCTCCCTTTAAGAAACAAAGTAGGTTAAAACTTAAAGTCTAGAAAACTTAACCATAGTGTTTCTTAGCGCTTTGAAATCTGAGATCACAACCTGCATTTGACTCAATAAATATTTACTTCCAAGAAAGCTGTGTTTTTCCTGAGAAATGGTGTGCTTCCTTCTTTCCTTTGGCTACCAAGAAGCTGAGAATTTAGTCTATGGGGAGGTGGGCAAGCTGGATGAAGGAAAGCAGTTTACTGATAACCCTAAAACTCTAAAGAAATTCCATTTAAAGCAGTGGGCAATAAGAAACCTTTGCAGGTCCTTGAGCTAGTGTAGAGATGATTTTAAAAGTTTTCTCTGAAGGCTATTACATGACAGTGATATGAAATAACCCTAACCTCAAAGCTAATCTTAGATTAGTAAAGTACTCTTCCTGGGTTTTATAAGCCTATGAGATCAGCACTTCAAGGCCTGAGGTACCAGATTCTTTAGAGGTGCCTCTGGTTTTGCAGTTTTCAGCAACCTCTCCCTCATCTGGATGCTTTCAGGTAGTGTTTATTCTCCATTCCCCTACTTTCCACTAGTTTCATACCCAGTCTGCTGAGCCCCTGAAGACATTTGTTTTCAACACATAATCATTAAATAATCTCTATGGCACTTTGTTGTTGTTATGGTTCCTGACTATGTTTATGATTCAAACACTGCCTCCAGGGTCCCAAACACATTTCTAGGCTTCAAAGATATTAATAATCAAATCAAACCCAAACTTAAACAATCTACTTATGTAAACTTTACCTGACATATTTTTCCTAAAGGGTTGCTTATCTTTTTCAGAAATTTATAAGCATTAAGAACTACTATCAATTTATAATTTGTCATAAAACATTATGCCCAACTTGATTGCCTCACAATGTAGCAGTGTCTCACTGCTTTATTAAATAAAGGGGGAAAAGAAGTGGCAAAGGGAGAAGGTAAAGAGAAATAATCTTGTAATAGTCTATATCCAAATGAATCCAGTGTAGAACTAGAAACTGTTTCCACTAACTTCAATTAAAATACCAGTAACGATTTTTAATCCTTGTAATTACAATACCTTAACTTGAATTTCTCAATGCTCAACATTTCTTTTTTGATTAAATTTTCATTTTGTAAATGTTTCCTTTTGTCCATATTTGACTCTTCAGAAGCAAGAAGTTAAGGATTCTACTTGGGGTCCTCTAATGTTGCTAAGTACTACAAAGGGCCTATGTTTTCCAATTCTAAAAAGTATAAACTTAAGCTTTTGCCACTCAAGAGTGAGGCCACTGTTAAACTGTTAATTTTTTTCAGTTATAAACATGATTCACCCAAAGGGAGCCTGTGGCAAAGATTTACTGAATTCATGATGGAGCAAGCTGAATGGTAAAAATTATAAAAATCTTGGAAATAGGCAATAAAATCACAATCTTCAGGAGTGTTCTTTTCTCCCAGTCAGAAATAATTTGCATCTCCATTACACACACACACAAAAGTAACTGCTGGGCCTGGGCCCTAATCAATACTATGTCAGGCAAGAGTATAGTCCCCTAGATAATTAATTCATCCTCAGGTGGGCCTCTTAGACAAGGTTCCATTCTCAGCTATTCTTTTGCTTTTCCTAGATGTTTATAATTTTTGCCATCATAAATGTTTCTATAAATCAGTTAACTACCCCCCAACTCATATTTCACATACTGTGAGTAGATACGTCATTTGGGAGAAGAAAAATTGTTGGCTATAAATATTAACTTATTCCTCCTGATTCTTAATGAATCTGAAACCCCTTCAACTTAAGTGGGACTTGGCCACTGGAATCACCGACAATTTAATACCCTTTGTTTCAAGGTTACACGGACAAAGACTTGCTATCCCTGCGCAGGTTTTAAACACAGGGCAGTGGACTACCCACGTTGTGCGTGAGCGCTCCGTAGTGGCCCAACGGGGCCGGTCACACTGGGTGCGGGCCTTCCTTCCCCCTGCGACCCACCCCCCACCCCCCATCAGCTCGCCCCAAGACCGCCGGGACACGGCCTATATTTCACTGGCGAGAGCCCCGATTCCCAGTCTTTTGTTCAGGGCTGGGCTATTTGCCGCCTACCCGCACCCGCCCTTCCTCACCATCCCAGGAGTGGGATGAGGACCGTGCGGGAAGCAGAGCCGGGAAGAGGGGCCAGCAAAGGCTGTGGGAATACTCACCCCGCTCCGCTCGGCCCCTGACCCCGCCGCCCAGCCTAGCGCAGGCGAGACAACGGAGCAGGGGGAGGGGAATCGGGGTGAGGTGCCTATCGCTCTGCCAGCTGCCGTCCAGCCAGCGGCCCCAGGGAGGAGAGTGTGACGGGCTACCAGGGGCCACGCAGACGATGGTAGACGAGCGGAACGAACACGCAAAGAGGCCCACCAAGAGAGAGGCCCAGCCCTCCCGCAGCCACCGCCAGCGCAGGCACCGCCACCGCAGCGACCGAGTCGGAGCATGCGCACTAGCACCTCCCGCGCACCACGGGGCCAGGCTCGCGCGGGTGGCTGACGTCGCGGGCCGCGCGCGCAGGACCCGGGCCAGGGGGCGTGACCTTCCTGCCGCCCGGGACCATAGAGCGAGGCACCGCCCCTCATCTCACTGGCCCCAGGAGCTGAACGCGGGCTGTGCTCTCTGCGTCCACAAAGGCGGCGAAAGGGAGGTGCGGCGGGCAAGCCGACACCTGGGAGAGGGGGATGCTGGCGTTTTTAACGGTCGCTGTACCCTTTCTTCCAACAAATAGCCAAATATCTGGGAAATAAATGAGTGACTAATGGAGAAAAGGTAGAGCGAGAACCTTCTCCGAGGTTGGAGAGCCAAGCCGGCTAACATACATACACTGGATAACTGTTGTAAGCACTGCCAACAATTAAGCACAAACACGACTCCCTCCTTTAAAACCTAAGGACTGAGGTAGAAGTTAGCAATTCGAGAATTACAATAGTACCATCTGTGGCACAAAGCTCAGAAAAGAAGAAAAAAAATCTAGCAGCAGAATTAAAATGGGGGTAGGGAGGACGGTGGGATAAAGAAACGACCACAGAAAGATGTAGGAGTAACAGGGGTGATGGAACTGAAATACTGAAAATGCAACAGCAGACATCTGAGGGAAAACTAGCATCTGCTCCTTTTAACACAACAGAATTAAATTTGTGTGAAAAGAAAAAAAAGTAAACACAGGCAAGAAGTGAAAGGAAAACCTGCCTTCAAACGTTACAGGGCATGGTTATGATCTTGTACCACAGTTATGTAAGTTGTCACCATTGGAGAGAGCTAGGTGATGGGTACACGAGATTCAGTACTGTTTTTGCAGTTTCTTGTGAGTCTATAATTATTTCAAAATAAAAAGTTCTTAAAAAGGGACAGAACACTGATCAATGGTGACCAGGAAAAGGGGCTGACTAAAAAGGAGCTTGAGGAAATTTGGGGGGGGTAACGGAACTGTTCTATACTTTCATTGTGTTAGTGATTACATCGTTGTTTTGTTTGCCAAAACTCATAAAAAGGATAGATTTTACTGAATGTAAAATAAAACTCAATTTAAAAAGAGATACTGCTAGGGGTGCATTGGAGGCTCAGTTGGTTAAGTGTCTGCCTTTAGCTCAGGTTATGATCTCAGGGTCCTGGGATTGAGCCCCGCATTGTCCTTGTCCTTAGGCTCCCTGCTCAGTGGGGAGTCTGCTTCTCCCTCTCCCTCTGATCATCCTCCCAGCTTGTGCTCTCTGTCTCAAATAAATAAATAAAATCTTAAAAAAAAAAAATACTACTAGTAAATGAATTTCCTAACATATTTGAGCAACTGTGGATATAAATGAATTAGATAGCTGCCAATTAAAAGTATTCACTGACTTTTTTTTTGGTACAGGGCAGTGTGAGTTCTGAGTGAGAACTTTAGTGGATGGGTGTTTCCTTCAACTTTAAGCAGTTACTCAAAAAACAGAACTTTCACATACAAAAATAAGAATGCATTGCTTGGCATTGTATTCAATAATCTAGAAACACGTTCATGCATCAACAATATCATGTTAACAAAAAAAAGGTGGTTTTTTTTGCACTTTGAGATGTTTTTAAGTTTTGTAATTCACCTGCCAAAACCAAAGAAACAAAGTGAAATAAATCAGGTAACTTCCATGTACTTCCTTTCATCGTATCACTCTTGGCAAGGAATAGTACTGGCCTGTTGATGTGTTCACCCTACAACACTACAGAGTGCTTTTAGGGCAGGGTCTGTCATCATTGCATAGCCAGCCTCTTGCAGAGTTCGTCACCAGTAATAAGTATTTGTTGAATAAAACAGTGGATTAATCACAAAAAGAGAAGGAAGCTAAAATTTATTGAGAACCCACCATAAGCCAGCTTAGTTTAGTTTAGTCAACCATGTGATAACCACCCAAGATACCCATTTTATAGATAAGAAAACTGAGACTAATGATCAAATCCCCATTCCTTATTTCATTGGATTTCTCAGTTTCGTTTGGACATGTTGATCACATCTACAAAGTCTTGCTTCCTTAGCTTCCATAAAACCACAGTCCCCTGATTTTCCTTCTAGCTCCCTTGACCGCTCCTTTACTTACCCTCACAGGCTTCTGTTTGTCCGTCACAAGGATAATATTAATTCACAATATCCTTTAGGTAGTGTGGTCCAAGAATGGGACACGAGTCTAAAATTACATGGCAGGGGCACCTGGGTGGCTCAGTCAGTTAAGCGTCCGACTCTTGGTTTTGGCTCAGGTCATGATCTCAGGATCCTGGGATCGAGCCCCAGGTCAGGTCAGGCTCTGTGCTGAGCAGGGAGTCTGCCTGAAGATTCTCTCCCTAACCCTTTGTCCCTCCTGCTCACATGCTCTCTCACTCTAAAATAAAAATAAATAAAAATCTTTATTTTTTTAAGATTTTTATTTATTTATTTGAGAGACAGAAAGAGCAAGTGAGAGCAGCACAAGCGGGGAGAGAGGGAGAAGCAGACTCCTCGCTGAGCAGGGAGCCCGCTGTGTGGCTTGATTCCAGGACCTGAGCCGAAGGCAGAGGCCCAACTGGCTAAGCCACCCAGGAACCCCAAATGAAAATCTTTAAAATTACATGGTAAATGTCTTATTTTCTCAATCTTGTCAATTTGAATCACTTGCACATTTTCTTTCTGCTCATATCCCACAGGCCACACCAAGATACAAGGCAGGCAGGAAATGCAATCATAGCCAAGAGCTCAGTCAAACCTTCACAGAGTGGGATTATTTTATTATTAAAAGGAAGAAGGGCAGAATGTATACTGGGAAGGAATAGCTCTCTCTGCTGCAGGTTTTAATAGGCAGATCTCTTCCACCACCCTCCAGGAAGTCCTCAGGAAAAGATAAATCATATAAAAGAAAAAGTTATGGGAGGTAATCTGATTGGATGGCAGAGATAAGAAACATAAACCTTTATGTACATAGCACTTACCTAAAAAAGTGAGAGAAAAAAATTATAGTTGGCAAAACTATAGAGACAGTAAAAAGATCAGTGGTTGCCAGAGTTTGGGGGAAGGAATATAAAAAAGCATACAGCATTTTTAGGACAACCAAACTATCATTTTGATACTGAAATGGTGGATATATGACATTATGTCTTTGTCAAAATCTATAAATCTATACAACACAAAGAATGAATTCTAATATAAACTATGGACTTAACAACAATCTATCAATATTGGCTCATCAATTACAGCATATGTACCACACATATTTTTTGTTTTTTTGTTTTACCCCTACTACCCCTTTGCAGTTAATCACTTCCTCCACCGTCAGACCCTCAGCAACCACTCAGTTCCTCTAGATTAGTCACTCTAGTTTTGCCAGTCCTAGAAAATGATATCATACAGTACATACAGTACATATGTGTCTGGCTTCTTTTACTCAGCATGTTTCATTGATGCATTTATCAGTAATTAGTTCCTTTTTATTACTGATTAGTATTCCACTACATGAGTATACCCCGAGTATATCCATTCATCGGGGAAGGACAGTTAGGTTGTTTTCAGCTTCTTGCTATTATAAATGAAGCTGCCAAAAAATAATCATTCAGTATTTTTGTGGACATATATTTTCATTCCTCTTGGGTAAATAACTAGGAGTAGACATATATTTTGGGATCAGTATGGAAATACAAGTTGTGTTCTTTGACTATAATTCTATATTGATCACATTCCTTAACTTAGGGCTTGTCTTATTTCATAATTCTAATTTAGAGAAACTTTTATTGCTGAACTTAAGTTACTATATGTTTCATTTGATTTTTGGTAGTGGGCATATGTACTAAAAGTATATAAAGTTGGGGACTGTGGCATGACACTCATGGATTCAAGTATTTGTATGGAAATAGCAATGGAAAATTGTCATTTTTCCAATGACAATCTATATATAATTATCTTGTTTCCTAAGAAAAATTTTAGAAAATTTCTGAAGGTTACTGAATTAGTTGTAAAAGCCTTTTTTTAAAGATTTTATTTATTTATTTACTTGACAGAGAATAAATTAAGATTTTATTTATTTATTTATTTGGACTTGAGGCCCAAGCAGGGGGAGCAGCAGAGGGAGAGGAAGAAGCAGGCTCCCCGCTGAACAGGGAGCCCGACCCCAGGAGCCTGGGATCATGACCTGAGCTGAAGGCAGATGCTTAACCGACTGAGCCACCCAGGCGCCCCAAAGTTGTAAAAGTCTTAATGACAGCAAAGGATAATGTTAACATAAAATCTCAGCAGCAAGATGCTGTAGCTAACAATGTATAGCAATAGGACTGGATAGCTGTGCTTGTATTTTGAAGACCTTATCCTTGATGGTCTAGTTTGTATTATGAAGAGTATAACACATTTCAGGAAATAATCCAATTTGAATTGTCTAAATAAAGGTCAGAATATTTTAATGAATTTTGATATTTAGTCTGTCTTTGTTTTCTAATATTCTTATTTGGACATTTTTTTTCTTTCAAGCATCTTGAGGACATTTAGGAACCAAAACTTTTGTTTTAAATTTGTCAGGTGAATTCAGAGTTCTAAAAGGACCACAATGGCAGTGATCTGGTATTACTCAAGTCGCTTGTTTTTCCCACTGAAACTGGTTAAGAGGGCCCTTTGTTCTTTTATTTTGGGGGGCTATACAGAAAAAATTATGCATGTCTATAGCATATCCTTCTGGGTTATCAGATTCTAGCTTTGTTCATTATCTTTAAGTAACTTTGCTGCTCTTTGTAAATTGTAGGTAATTGATAGATATATGTAACCTCCCATCCTGTCTGGTAGGGATTTTAATTGACTCCCCCATTTTACCCATGGAAAAATCAGTTCTGTCCCATTTTGCCTGGTTCCCTGATCTCACATGAGTGAAATGAATTCTTTAACATATATTCATTTTTATATCTATATGAAAGTCATGATTTTATCTTTCTCTAAAAATTATATTTCAACAGAGGCCTGGAGA